GTCGTATATTCTGACTTGCCTTTGCTGAGTCGAGGGCCGTTCTTCTTAAAGGCTGTTCGTCATGCCGCGGTTTTACTTCTGCTGCTTCTCTGCCTTCGCTGCACGGCACAGTGGCATAATAAATATGATAATGATGCTCAGAAAATGTGTAGCCTGTACTTTCTAGGAAAGAAACAGAAGCGGTAGGTGACCTTCAGATTTTATATTCAATTTAGCTAAGATTTTGGTGTGGGTTCCTTCTCCTGTTTAATTCGAAAAAGCATATCTACAGGCAAAACGTCTTAAAAGTTATAAGCTCTACAAAGTACTAGTGTTGATTAAAACTGTGGGTCCGCAAAAATCTCATTACCATGCTTCTCATGAACTGATCTGCTTATGTGGTATATGGATACATCAATCACTGCTGCCACTGTTTCGTTAGGAAACGGACAATGGCTGTGTAAAGACAAATACCGTAGCAGTTAAGCAATGAATAATGAAAGTTGCATCAGAGACTAAGCAGAGGATCGTAAGCGAATGGCTGAAATATGTAATGTAATAAAATATTTCCAGAAAATTTTTACATTATGAACATTAAGGTGCATGAGGGCCTAATAAGGACGTAATGTTGGAGTACCACTGTCGGGCAAGAAAACATGACACACGCAGATAGCGAGGTGAATTTCGTGAATTGTGTCGCCGGAATAACTTAGAATACAGAATTCGTTAATAGGGCGAGTGTGATACATATTCCGTTCAATTAAAAATGAGCTGACTTACAAAATGGAAGGTATCTCGCTTCAGTGCAGGCAATAGACACTAATAGAAGCACAGGCGGTACTTCCCTCACATACAAACAGTTTTAACAGTGCGGAAAGACGGAAGTAGATCAAGAGAGCTAGCTGACATGAGAGGAACGGCTGAGGAATAAATTAAGCCCATTCTTCCTGGGTTTGGACTAAAAGCGTCTAATGACCTTCCTCACTTTCTCCTTTGAAGGTCTTGTCCGTAAATATGACTAAGTATCTTTGATCCGCCGACTCCATTAAACCTCAGGTGCCAGTAAAAGACGTTTGAACGCATAAATCGATGTTTCTTTCCTCGGTCGCAGTCATGACAACGTAGTCGCGTATGTTCTGTCCGCCAGGGGTTGCTGAGTCATGCATACATTTGTCCTCTTCAACAGCTGATCGACGATTTCTTCGTCGTCGTCGCCGTCGCCGTCGCTCGCTCGCTCGTTCGTTCGACCAGACCATCGTTTCGTCGTGTCCTTGCCTCTGCGGCGTGTTTCAGATGAGCCCTCGCATCGATTCTGAGGTAACCTTATTTCCGTGTTTCCATCTTTGCCTCCGTTATTAACGCAAATTGAGAAGGAATGAGTCATGTCACTCCGTAACTCGGGTGCTCAGCTTTACATTTCCAGACACGAATAAACCGGCTTTATTTACATCATGCATTTGCATATTGCTTTGAGAAACGCTTTGCTACCACTGCTTCAGAAGTTGCAAATTTAAGCCATTTTTCTTCTCTCATTTTCGTCTAAAATTTTGCGGCAAAACAAGAACTGTAAAGGTTTGAATATGGAACACGACTGTTCACCAGGGAATAGATGCGGAGTGCCGCGAAGCACGCAGTTTTAGATCATTTTTCGGAGGAATAGTAAAAATATTGAACAGCAAAAAAGCTTTCCAATAAATCTAATGCAATAAGTGTATACGAGAGATAAATCTTCATTTAAATCGTTTGTTATCGATTAGCTGTACTTAAAAAACTGCCTACTGTTGCTATTTGCAGAAAGTTCGGCCATAATAAAAAATGACCGAAATTGTTCACTTCCGCTGAGGCGCGTGATGCTTCGAAGAACATGATGATGTGTACGTGAAAAGCAAAGAAAAACAAAAATAAAAAAGGGTA